TCAATTAAACAACAAAAAGTATAATTATCAGGGTGTATTAACGATTCTAACATTTCATTGTAAATTTCTCTTGCACGATCCATATCCTTTCTCTCCACGTATGCATGTAATAAAATGTTATAAGTAGTGGATTGTGGCTTTATTCCAGCGAATTCCATGTGCATCAATGTATCTTCGGCTTTACGTAAATCACCAGACTTAACATTAGCATGTATAAGTGAATTGTAGGTGTACACATCTGGTGTCAAACCATAAGTTCGCATTTCATTAAACAATAGATATGCGCTAGAAGGATCTCCACGCTCTGCAAAAAGCGATATCAAAGCATTATATATACGAACTGTCGGTTCTATCCCTGCCTCCAACATGATTCGACAGATGCGAAATGCTTTATATACATTATCTGCATTACAATATCCAGCGGTTAACATATAATAGGTTATTTCTTGAGGAACAATACCGTCAGTTATCATATTATGGAAAACTTTATCCATAGATTCAGTATCATTTACATTTACAAAAAGTTCAATCAACGATGTGTAAATATGAGCATTAGGTCGAATTCCAAGATTTATCATTTTATGTAATAAGCTAAGTGCCGAATTGACTTTTCCTAATTTTGCGTATACATTTATTAACTCTCCAAATGTCCTTACGTCAGGTGCTATATCTATTTTTAACATTTCGTCAACAAGTTGATGCATTTTCTCGTAATTGTTTGAAAGACTATAAATTCTTATTAATACATTATATGATGCAGTATCACGATCTAATTGTTCTGATTCCATATCTTGAATCACATCCAATGCTTCATTAACTCTCCCTTGTTTACCAAGAGCATGAATCAACGCGTTATAAGTGTATATATTTGGAATTAGATTAATCGACTTCATTTTTTTAAATATTTGAAACGCTTCATCCAATTTTTGATTTTTGAGGAGTATAGCTATAACTTCTTTTGTTAATCCAGAATCAACCAATTCCATATCCATTAGTTCGTTAAACCACGGTATAGCCCCATGATTTAAGCAAGTTTTGAAAATTTCAGTGAGAATATTTTTTGTCAAAATATTAGGCATTACTTGTTTTTCGTGCATCAAAGAATATAAAAATGTTATTTCTTGAAGATTATCTTCAAATGTAAATGCACTTTTTCCATAAGCCTGTATCATCATATTAAAAGCGGGACAATAAGGGCAAATTCTTTTCCCAAGAGGAGCTTTCAATTCACAGATTTCATCGAAAATCTTTCGTGCTTTACTTAATTCACCAACATCTAAATAAGCTTCTATTAAATAGTTTCGTTCGGTTTGATCAATGTACATTCCAAATTCTTTCATATCGTGATGTATTTTTAAATATTTTTGAAGACGACTAGAATTATTTTTATCAAGTTCTTTAATTG